TTTCGAATATTTCCATTTATTTTCGTTTCCCGATAGTTTAGTGAAAACATTCTGACAGATAGAAAGATTCCATGTTAAACTATTTACAATTATTTAACGTACAAACTTAATTGTTTTCTTTTTTAATAATAATAATTAATAATAATAATAAAATTATTAACTAGCAACAGAATAGGATATTTCATATCCGCTAAAATTAAAAGTTGCAAAAATTTAAAATTTTTAACTAATTATTTTTATTAGTGTAATTGAGTATGCACCCATTGTTTGATGATTCACGTCTTAGGTCGCCTTTTTATGACTTTGTAAAATCTGATTTGCAGGTTCAAAATTATTATTAAAAAAAATAACTTTATTTTTTAAGCAATTTTTTTGTTTTTTTTTCAAAAATATATTAGGGAAAAATATATTTTTTGTACATAGTCAGAAAACAAATTGCCTTATTTGTACATTGTCTGCGTTACCGAAAAAAAATAATTAAGCTAAGCAAATTATTAGCTTAGCTTTAATTCCATATAATTATTCCCGACTTTTCCAATTATTTAATTTGAATAACAAAATAGTAATTTTTTAAATTAATTCAACAAAAAAGGCGCTCATATCAATACCAACTGCCACTTCTAAGCGATGACTATGACACGTAATTAAGATACCACAAGGTAGATTTTACAAAGCCACGCTGCCATTGTGTATGGCGTTTACACCATTTTAAGACACAAATAGGATTATAACTGTTATAATACAAAACTTATTTACATTGTTACTGTATGTACAAAACCCTTAATGGACAAGGTAATATAAACTATATTGTTATTGGCTATCTAATGTTCATTTATAATCGAAATTATTAACCAATACAATACAATATCTCTGAGGACTTAGAACGAATTTGTTTTACATTTGAAGTAATCGGAACGAAACCGCGTGCAGCGCTCTGATTGGCCGGCTCCAATGATCCAACCAATCAGAACGCAGAACGTAGTCTCGTTACGAAACCAACTCGTACTATAAACCTCAGGTCCAAGTTATGACATAAATTCTATAAAATTTATGTCAAATATTAATAATACAAAGATTTTGAATGGAGATTGGTTAATAATGTTGATTGTTAATAGCATTTGCTGATTGACACGTAACAGGTCATCTTGAAACGTAAATTACTAAGATTGGTTAGTGAATTTAATTGAATTAAAAACTTCTGTAAGTTGAAATAAAGTTTAAATTGATTTGTAGTTGTTTACAGTATGTCTTATGTCTAATGAAGTTCAATGAATGTTGATCTTCATTAAGGTTTTCAAGATTTAAACTGAAGATTTCTTAGTAAACCTTTGTTAGTATTAATTAAGTTATAATCAAAAGAAAGCTGAAACATTTGTTAACAAAATTACAAGTAAGTTATTCTAAGTAATAAATATATTATGTAACACAAAGACACTAAAATAAAGTACCTAAGTGTGAGAGAGTCATGCTTCGGCACGAATGGGCCGGCTTGACCGGAGTGATACCACGGCCTCACAGAAAACCGACGTACATCAACGCTCGCGTTGTGTTTCGTCGTGTGAGTGAGGTTACCGGAGGCCCAATTACCCTCCCCTTCCCCCAATCTCCCCAATTCCTGAATCCCCATCGATCCTCAAACTCCTTATCCCCAAAAGGCCGGCAACGTACTTGTAACGCCTCTGGTGTTCCAGGTGTCCATAGGCGACGCCGATTGCTTACCATCAGGTGATCCGTCTGCTCGTTTACCGGCTTATGCCATAAAAAAAGTACCATACAACCACTAAAATTTACTCCGAAACAGAATTATTGTTGACTTACAAAAATTTTCAATTCAAACCGTACGTAAACGCACACTTGTATACTGTAAGTGCACAGCACACGAAACGTAGGCAGATTCAAAAATAATTTGAATTTTCAGGGTTCATATTAAACCAGTGAGTATGAGAATGTGACCCATTTCAGCAAACACTACAATGAACAAAAGATTTAAGCCTCGACCTCTGATTCATGAAAATGTGGATAACGCTCGAAATATCTTCACCTACCATTGACATTTGAATATTACATTTCGTATTTTTTTTTCACATCACATCAAAGTGTCCCAAATTTGAAGTTTTTTTTTTTGCAAAATATACTTTGTTGTAACGTGGTAAGATAGAAAATGTGTTGATAGATTAGGATAGTTTCATGTGCTGGTATCTGGAGGAAGCTCTTCATACTTCTATGAAGATCGAAGTCTGTTAACAGATGAAACCAAGAATCGTGAAGATAATTCAGATCTAAATGGAGATCATAATTTCAATTTTTGGTTTCATCTAATGTTACTAAAAAGTCTTCATAATTTTATGTATTAAGTTCGACATAGTGGCAAACAGTCATCGCATTTTTACAGTGACGTAAAACTAGAAAAAACTTAGGCTGATTTCAAGAGCGTCTTAAAAATCATTTTTCACGAACAAGAGGTCAAATATCACAATTTAGTGATTATGTTTATAATAACTAGATTATCAGTTTCATACTATCTATAATACAGTAGGAAATATTAGTCCAATCTTCAACATATTTAATTTCAAAACTTTAGGTGATACTATCTGGAGAAGTCAGAATTTTAAAGAAGTGTCATTGTATACACAGTACTCTGTTAAATCATACATGCTTTGTGCTTGGTATGTTATAAAAAATAATGACGATACTTACAATTTGTAAAATATGAAATTTCACATTAGAATTGGAGAAAAAAATAAATAAAGCCTCCCCGGTGAGCAATGATTGATTTTCAACATTATTTGTTTTATGTTTCTGACAAAAACCTCAATATTGAAATTGGCAGGAAGTGAACTTAACGCCTTTAACGATTGCCTATAACGAGTGAATTAATAATAAAATAACAACAATTTGGTGCTCTGGAGGCCATAAGTTCAAAGTCCGCTTATGTAATTGCTGTCCTTAACTTAAAATGGAATATCGGGGTATTAATATTTCCCGAAATGTTTAATGGGGATGATGACAGGGTATGAAAATTAAAAATATAATTAGTCCGTAAGTTAGGTAATGAAAAAATATTAGACACGTATTTTTTTATTTTGTCGTATAATAAAACAATACTTAGATAAAACGAATCAAAGTTTAGGAGTGGGGGCTAAAACGTCATTCCTTAGTATAAAATGTACTGAGAAGTGACGTCACGCGACATTTCAAATCAATATATCTTCGAAACTATTCGTTTCTGTGAGAAAATAAAAAATACGTGTCTAATGTTTTTAAATAATCTATCAGACGGACATTAAAATAAAAATTAGTCGTCTACCCTATTGTTGTTTAAAATACTTCTGATGTTATATTTTAAATTATATATGTATAAATTCTATGAAATTCTGACTACTCAAGCCATACAGTATATCGATACCCATACAAACTAGATTATAAATGTGGCTTGTTTATTTTCACAACCATTTATAAACGGAAAATGAAATATTTAACACAACGTCAATCCGATTTACATTGTTTAACATCTCGTGAGTATAAATATTGTTTTCGAATTATTATTTATATATTAACTAGAGTTATATGTGTTATATTTACATTTTATTTATTGATTTACAAACGAATTTTAACAGAATTTTCAATTATTTTATCCTACCTAATCGGAATTCGACTAACAAACATATCGCGTACTTGCTTAGTGCTGTTAGAGAATAAATATGAAAGGTATTATAATTATGATATATATAACTAAACAACGTCTTGTATATAATTTCAAAATAATTGATAATAAAAAACTAATATTGATCTGACATTAATAATTTAAAAAATAATGTTACGTAAAAGAAAAAAAAAGTTTAGTATGAAAATTAGAAATAGTACAGACCCCGATAATCTAAAGATTCTGGTGGTTAGTGGTCAGGTTATCCGTAGGCTATACCTGTAACGCAGGTGAGTTCGTTTCGCAGTTGAGTTCGTTCATTCGAGTACCCAGTGACTCTCTCTTTGTTTTCTGGGATTGACTGCGTGGTTTTAGTCGGTAAGAGTCCGACATAACCTGCTGTCTGACACTCATTGTCTAGACAAAGGGTATCCATGAGGATTTCCACATGTAAAAAAAGGCTATACTTGTAAAAACCTCACCGGCCTGACAGTTCAGTCATAAAGACCGTAGAGGACAGAGGCGCTTGGAGGAGTTTTGTACATCAAGTGACAAGTGGAGCGTGCACCAGACTAGACACGACCTTCAGTAATGAAGAGAACGACTTAGAAGATGATGAACATTAGTTCTAAGTAAATAGTGACTTATGTTTTCTTCTAAAACGTTTCAACTATGTACGTCAAACATTATATTTGACCTCAAACTACAGACACCGATTTTCCCACCAATTTAAAGAAACAGGTATAACTCAAAACTGAGAAATCTTAATAAGAACTTCGTAGATATTTTTAATTGCAAAGTAAATCCATTCTTTGAGACTCAGCTAAAAAGTTTATGAGAGCTGTAATAAAGAGTATTAGTAGTGACGTCATGTTTTACTTCTCTTTTAATTTGAGTTCATGAAGTCATTGCAGTAGAGTTTACAGCTCGCTTAAATATAACTTCGGGTGTTGGAAAACAAGTTCAAGTACCTTTTTTACTTCGAAGACATGAAAACTTTAATGAAGTTCGTTCTTAGTTCGTACTTGTCGATATTATAGATGTGGGAGTTGGTTCTTTGTTTAGCTTTCGAACCGGTTTTGATGAATAATTCAAGTGTTTTTGTGAAAATACACGCTCTTATTATTTCGTTGCAGTCTCTCAAGGTGAATACAGTATGTCCAAGGCAAAATTTCAAGTCAAATTATGCAGGTTATGGTACACGAAAATCATTTCTTGTCAGTATTTTAGTTTTCATAACAGCACTATAGCAAGTACTAGATACCCATAACAAAAACACTAATCACTCGATTTAAAAAAAGTTTTGAGCACTTGAATAACACAGTCGTATTTACATGTCCTATAGTTGTGTGGTCTGTCAGAGCGGAGTATCGCGGGGGGGCAGGCGGGGCGCGGCCGCGGGTGCCACGGGGCCTGGCGCCGGGCCTGGCGGTCCCGCGGGCCCCGTCGGCCGGGGGAGAGTCCGTAGGTGCTGTAGAGGAATACCTCCCGATGGGCCCAATGATGAACCCCGTGGCAACGTGCAGGAGCCCGACGCAAACCGCGCGGGTGGCGGAATGCCTGACGACGCGTTCTGAACGAACAGAACACCATAAGAATATCCATCTTCCATCTGCTGGACAAATTTTTGGTGGTGTTTTATAAAGTTTTTAGGTTTTTATGCATTCTAGAAAATTAGATAGATCAGTATATTGAACTGAACTAGGTAGAACTTCATACGCAACTAACCTGTGGGTCATGCATGGGATGCGCAGGCGGTGGTGCAGTGCGTAACGCCGCGTACGCAGGCAGGCCACCGCGCACGCCCGCCACACTGCCGCGTGCCCCGCCCCGCACCCCCGGCGGCGGTGAGATGGTTGACACTTGTTGCTGACGGTAGTAGTCCATCTATTTCATAAATTGTTGATGAATGAACATGTTCAAAGTGAAAGAGAGTAAAGGTACCACGATTTTATTTTGGTGAACAACTGACACGAGCATTTAAAAAGACCTCTTTTGTACATAAAATGTATCAACAGGCTACATTCTACACTGTTATTTACAATAAGCTTACTCTTCAAAGGGTCACAGTATAAAATTTTTACATGAGTTGCTATTTGTTCGTAACAAAAAGTTTTTTAGCTATGTACACCACGTTGAGAACAATATCAAGCAAAGACAAGATTCGGAACTTGATCAATGTAACTCAGAATTTTACTACCACTTTAATCTGGTTAACATTAGTTTTTACATTGATCATTGTTTTTCACGACTATGACTAACATACTTTCATCATTCCTTACCTGCATCTGATCAGTATCCGACGGTATTATATCTGGATTCCTATCATCACTTTCACTGTCCTCCTTCTCCCTCAGTTTGTCTGGACTGGCTGGTTGTGACGAGGGTGGAGGAGCAGACCTTGGCTTCCGTTTAGCACAGCGTTGTCTCATAGCTATCATGAAGAGTATCAGGACTACTGTCAGGATGATACCTCCACCGACGGCCACTGACATCGCTCCCGACATTTGGAAGGCGGTTCTTGGGAGATCTGTTGGACATTGAGCTTGTTTAGATGGAAAGAATAGCTTAGATATTGGTGTTAAAAGGCCTTATGAACTGATGCATAGGAGAAACACCAAATAACATGTACAGACGATGTTTGGTTTTTTGTTAAGCGTTTGTCTAGAAAAAGCTTTGACGTTCCAAGGTCTTATCGGTCTATTTTAAGAGATGTAGGTACACAAATAAACTTTATGATAGTATTATTATCACATAATACAATCCTGTATAAAGTTTATGAAATTAGTTTGGATGATTTAAATAGAAAGCAAAATATAAATATATGTTTTGTAGTAAAGGGCAACTTATTTTTAGTTCAAATTGTTATTTTGTTGCCAGCAATATATCAAAAACTCACCTAAACTCTTATCATGGACGTGGTGTTTCTCTGGTGGCCTCAAGGTGCTGGCCCTCAAAGGATAAGGATCTCCTCTGCCCTTGGCATTGTATGCTAGAACAGCTGCAGCATAAGTTCGACCTGGTGAGAGACCGACTGCTGTGAAGCGAGGCACCGCACTTGATACGTTGGCTACAATCTCCTGTTTGGGGAAAAACAGCATTAGGGAAGGTTCTCTGGTTCAAAAACATGTAATAAATCTAAATGGTTGGGAAATTTACTTTTCCTTTTTTTCATCTAGGCCTGCTGGTCATGGTGACAATGAAGTTGCTCCAAGTTAAGCTAAATAGTTGTTTCCGCATATGGCATAATGACAATACGTGTGTATTATCTAATATTTACCTGTGTCACAATCTCTCGCACTTCTAGAAGAAAAGACTGTGGCATGCCACCGTTGAAACCCTCCGAACACCGAACCCCGAACGATGTCAACGATGCGTTCACTACTGTGCAGTTGTGAACTTGATCAGGACGACCTAAGATAAAAATTACAATAATTTTAGCTTTGTTAAGAAAATGTCTTTTATAGTTTATTATTATTTTATATGATACATAGTTTGGGGCGGATTGCCTCGTTGGCCAAGTTGGTTGGTGTGGTCACCAGTGAATACGATTCACAGGTCGAGCAAAGTATTACTGGGTTTTTTTTAATTCTCAGTAGTAGCACGGAGCCTGGAATTGTGTTGTGTTCGATATATGGTATTAGGGTCATCCCCTATTACATGGGACTCATAACATAAATAGTGAAATGTGGGTGTTACGTTGTACAGTAGCATTAAGTGCCGTAATGTGTATCTCTGCCTATTCCTTCGGGGTTAAAAAGCCTGACGTTATGTTATGTAATGTTGGGGACAGATTTTGTGTTTACTATATCATGTGTCTCAAACATCACCCAGTTTTCTTCAGAGCTAGCGTATCTCGAAACATCAGAATTAAGGCTAAACTCCAAACTATGTTTAGAATTTCGCTAAAACAACCTGGTCATATGAATTTTGTCGAACTTCGTACGCTTGTGGAATCAACTAAAAATAATCTATCTTAAAAAATCAGTCAGTAAGATATTGATTTCTTGTCCCTTTCTGGAAGCCATCTTGGCAGGTACGGATAAGTAAGTAAAGGCTCTATGGAATCAACTTAAGACGTCTGTGTTGGTTTTGGAGATGAAAGAATAACTTTACGGCGACGGTCACATTTTTGACAAGAAAACTAACAACAACCGTTTGACAACTGGAGTATACAGACCTATTTGCGATATTTGGAAATGTGGTCATATTTGCGTAAACCAAATATGAACCTTACACTGAAATTTTTCAGCAATTATAATTCTCTCTTTAAAAAAATATGTTTGTGATATTTTTTTCGTTATCTGACAAACTGATTAACATGACCAAACTACTACGGCGTAATGTCTAATTTTGAAACATTTCATGTAGAGCCCATATCATAATTTTATCTAGTAAGGAAATCTACAGACAGAGAGATTTTAATTATAAATAAAGGAATTTGAACGAAGGTCGACTTAGAGAGGGTGGTTAAATTAATACACACCGTACTGAAATAATAATCGTGTATATTATCTCAATTACTATTCTTGCTGCTCACATCGTAGATGACATTTGTCCGTACTCTATATCAATTCCGGTAACGAAACCATAGCGCCATCTAACTCGATCCCAACGCCATCTATCGAGCGCTGGGAGAACTCGTGTTAAATAATGAATTATTTTATAATAAAATGTTGATAGCGTTATGATCCCGTTACCGCCACGAACAGAATTTTAACGACACGAATGAAAAATAGATAAAAAAATACTTAATCAAAATATGACTCCTTCACAAGAAATATAATATTTATAATGTAAAAGCAAATCGTTAAGAATAGCTGAAACAAAGTCAAGAGAAGAAATTAGGATTAGCCTTTCATTTCTTAAATAGACAGAAAGATCTGAAAGAGGCTAACATCTTCTTAGAAATGAACTTCAAAAAGGTCTACATTAGAAAATAAATAACTATTCGCCCGTCAAGAAACAACACGACTGATTTATGTAAAATGTTTTCTGTCTACGATTACATTGTTTTAGTTTTCCACCCACAAGTACATCTAACAGAACTTGGGAAGGTTTCAGAGGGAATGTTCAGCCGCCTGCGGGCAAGATGAGGCATTTGTGGTATAAAATGTACATATATATTATTATTTTAGGTAGATATTATTATCTAAGTTATGTAGTATGTATTATAATTGTAATTTATACATAGTTCAGAAGAAATTATTTAGGATTTTAAGCATGCTTTAATTAACAGCTATGCTCGAAGAAATTATATATGTATATATATATTATACCTCTATAATAAGGTTTATTGGTTTCTGAATTCTTATCATTGGCACCAAGTCTAAAACTGTACATGGTCTACGACAATTGACTTGAGATTCATGGCATATTTGAAAGGTAATGTCACCAAGAATATTTGTATAGTTTTTTTTTTATTTATTTCATCTTTCATGTACACACTATAACAGAATACGGATACATAAGGCGAGCTTAATATGGCTTTCTCTACCAGTCAACCTTAAAGTCAGGTTTAAATAGAAAATCTGCGAAAATACACCATCATCATCATCATCATCATCATCATCATCAACAGCCGGAAGACGTCCACTACTGGACAAAGGCCTTCCCCTTAGTCCTCCACGTCGAACGACAACTCGCCACTCACATCCACTGGCTCCCCGCAACTCCGAAAATACATAATCGACGGAAAATAAAAAATATTAAACTTTTTTTTTCTCAAAAAAGTCAAAAGTCAAAAGTCAAAAATCATTTATTTCAATTAGACCAGGAAGGCACTTTGAACCAACCATTCTCATCTCATACTCACCCGCAGCAATAATGTGATAGACACAAGGAACTCTTTGCTTGCCAATCCTATTGTGTGCCCAGCAGAGAAGAGTCCCATAGTCCATCTCAGTGTGAGGAGTGTAGGTGACGGTGGAACTGGTACCAGCTCTGGAGACATACGTGTCACTGACTTCGTTGCTGTTCGCTGTATTGTTGAAGGTCCATCGGAACTGTGGGAGGAAGATGATGGTTAGAGAAAATGATTTCTTTGTTAATGGTCGAGTCACACAACTCAATCTAAGAAGCCTGCTCCAGTCAGGCCCTTAACATTTATCAAAAATCCACTGAGAATCTGACACAATACTGAATATTTTTTTATTATTATGTTTTTGGCTTACTCATGTAACTGTTTGACAAGATCAGTAGCAGCGCGACAGTCGCCGCATCGCGGGTCACAGAATGCTGCTCATGAATATGAGCCTCTAGCATAGTTTGAAACGAGTCTTCGTCAAACAGTTACGTGAGTAAGTCAAAAAACTATTATAATTAATTTAACTCGTTGAGTACCGTCATTAAGGTATAGACACAATTAAAGAACAATAGGTTGTGGTCACCGGTGTCCTCGCGGTGTTTGACAATTTAATACGTCTCACAGAAGTTTTAACATAAAGAATACTATTTAATCAAAGTTATATTATGTTCCTTCTTGATTCGGACAATAAGATTGCGCAATCTATAAGCTTTTTTTATATAAACCTGCGATCAATCGTATTCTAGACTATAATCAGGTGAGGCACCTACAATATGATCAAGGGTCTTTTCATTTAGTGTCAATTTGGTTAGACAAATCACTTCTAGTGTTCATTCTTTTGTTAGCAGCATATAATTGATGTGTGTTTACCCTACCTACATAACGTACAATTAGAAAAAGAACGAAACACACGTGAGAGACAAGGAGAAGAAACTAGCAGAGTGGAAAAAGAAGGAAGAAGAATTAAAAGGTGATTTTTTCAAAATATTTATTAATTTGTTGGAACTTGGATTTTAGTAAACTTGGCCCCGTCCTTCATTCTTAGGATCTATCCATTCATAAGAATCTTCTGACGAACATCTTGCAACATACATCGTAAGAGCTTAGTAACGGTACGAAGTTTGTAATAGTAGATAGTGTGAAGTATTAATAGATACAACTAAGTTACTTACGTAATGGGACTAATATCAACATAACATCATAACATCACGCCTTTTATCCCCGAAGGGGTAGGCAGAGGTGCACATTATACCGCTGTACAATGTAACACCCACTTTTCACTATTTATGTTATGAGTCCCATGTAATAGGGGGTGAGCCTATTGCCATATACCGGGCACAATTCCAGACTCCGTGCTACTAATGAGAATTTTTTAAAAACCCAGTAGTACTTTGCCCGACCCGGGAATCGAACCCGAGACCCCCTGCCCGGCAGTCGCACTTGCGACCACTCGGCCAGCGAGGCAGTCTAGAGGAGGCAGCGAGGGAGAGGACTAATATCAATATATGAATTTCACTAAGCATAGCCACTCAGCAGACCAATTTACTCTTCCAGGGAATAATATGCTAGATATTAATTTCCAACATCGTTTAATTTATGAAAGGACTATTCACTAATTCGAATGTCATCAAAGTTCGACTATTCCAAATGGCGATATGCCAAATTTTCTGTTTAATATGTCATGTCAAAGCAGGAACAGATTTATAATAATGTTTGTCCCGTAATGTTGGCTCCCCTGTTTCAATATTAATGTTGGTATAGCCTAGATGAGGTTATGTTTTGGACAGGACTTGTGTATTTTGGTTCAAATTGTTGCTGTTTGGATAGTATAATATGGAATAACGTTTTGTTTTGGTTTGTAAGAGTGATTACATGGGACTTATAACATTAATAGTGAAAAGTGGGTGTTACATTGTACTATTGCATTAATTGCCGTAATATGCACCTCTGTCTATCTCTTAGAGGGTAAAATGCGTGATGTTATGTTATGTAAGATTGAATGATGTGTTCTGTTACTAAAAATAAAGTGATTTAATATTAAACAAGGTCATTTCATTTGCCAAACTGTACAAACTGATTATTTTTGGATTAAAAAGACAATGTATTTTTTAATTATAATCCACTTTTGTATTGAATTACATCCATGTTAATTTACATAAATAAATTAACCTTTTGTGCTTACTACGTATAGATTTATTAAGGAAATTACGTAACAAACAATCTTATAACTCACCTTTGTATTAAATTACATCCACGTCAATTGATATAAAAACTTTATCATGTTATAATGAGTACAAAATAGTCCGTAGAGGTTATTATGGCATAACAATCTATACAAATCAAGAAATGGTAAGCACAGCTAAGCATGACACGCATAATTCGGCTAGAATACGCTAATCGAAGCCAGATCTCACAAATAACTCTGGGATATTTCATCATAATAACAGTTGACATAATGGATTATCTTTAACAATGAAAGTACTATCTGTTCAGAACAGGACCGATATAGCTTCGATACCATTCCTATCAGCTTTCTCGAATTAATTCCATTTTATAATAAGTTCACATTACTTATTCATGATTGCTTTTAGTCAGTTTCAGAAGCATTGATTTTGATCAACTTCTCACTTAAAACTTGGAAATTGTTCTATTTAAAATTATCTATTTTCGTTGGCTCACTGTTCAAAGAAAGGGCGGTAAATCCTTTCATTAAGAGTCGACCAATTATTGTAAGCAGTTAGTGGAATATAGATAATTGAAAATGTATTTATAGATTAGTTCTGTTATGTTAATATTAAAATGGAGATTGTAATCTTAAACTTCGTTACAACCTAATTAAAATTTCTCTTGATGTATTAATTTGATGTTATTTTCAGATATATTTGATAGTAGTTTTTTTGCTGTTTTTCTACTTTACAGCTGTAAATAAATTTTTGTTGAAATTCGACCAGTGGTAACAAGAAGTTTCTACGCTATAGATAATAATAAAATCTCACAAAGTTTCTATATTCTTTTTTTTTTCTTAAAAAACGTTGCCCCACACTAGGATTTTCACCTGTATCTTGGGTGCGTTTACAAACATACAAGTTCACATATACATGACACTCAGACCCGAAACAACAATCTGTGGATCACACAAAGAGTTGTTCCGTGCGGGAGTCGAGCCCGCGACACGATACGAGGCAGCCAGTTGCCCCACCACCATTATCATTATTTTTTCTTTCCATGTTTGTTTTTAAACATTTTTATTTGTCATAATGTATAAGTATATTTTTTCCAGGCGTGCATATCTTATGCCGAATAAACGTATTATATTTCATTTCATTTCTTTTCGTTTCGTTTTATTTAATTTCATTCATTTAGTCAATTCATCATTCATTTCACTGGTATTGTTTTTCTGTCACATACATTGGTACCTTTTCTATTCAACAACTATATCTATTTATAACTATTTAGTTCAAGTAGTAGTGTGAATATTGAATAAATGTTCCTTACACAATAAAAAATTGGCAACCACTCTAGTCGCCAACACAAACCCACGGTTACTTGAGTAAATAAATGCCATATAATTCCTTACTTAAGAAAAGATTTTTTTGGAAAAAACAGGAAAGGAAAGAGACCGTCACAATTGAATTGTTATAATTGAATCAATTGTCTTTGGGCGACAGAAGGGAGGAAGGAAGGGTTTCAACGCAAAACCACATTCTAATTCCTTCTTGATTGGCAAATTTAACTGAGGACTATATAGATATTTATATGAATATCGGGTATTGTATAATTTCTGACTATATTAACAAACCTAAACGAACTAAACTAACGTCTAAATTATGCAGATAGTAAGATGAAACGTTAAATTAATTAATTCCTTGTGTACTGAGGAAACTGGAGCATGACGGGTGCTTCTGTTATTGGTTACGCATATGGAGAGATTGTAGTTTAGATTTGTTATAAAATTTTACATACACATATTAATTAGCTTAATAGTGATGCAATTTCTTTTGTTTTTAAATTAAAATTAGTTATTTTTTTAAGTAATTTATGTAAAAACGCGGGTTACTCACGTGAATATAGTGAGCTGCGCGACGTCGCCGCGACCGCGCACGCTGCTCATGAGGAAGAACCCCTCTGTGATTCGAAACTAGTAGAGCTTTTCTCAGTATATTCACGTGAGTAACCCGCGGTTTTACTTAATTTAGTATGTCTCACGATAGTTATTATAAGAACTTAGCTATTTTTAAAAAATTAAACATGCCCCACACTAGGATTTTCTCCTGTCACGTGGGTACGTTTACAAATATACAAGTTCACAAATACATGACACTAAATCAAACAACAATTTGTAGATCACACAAAGTGTTTTTCCGTGCGGGAATCGAACCCGTGACACGTAACACGGCAGCCCGCGACTCGAGCGCACTCGCTCTTTTATAGCTGATATCTTATTCGATATATGGACAATTCAATACAAAAATAATTATTCAATTTGTATCAGTAGTTTCGGAGATTGGAAATTAACACATTCTAAAAACTCTTCAGCTTAAGAAGATTTCATGCCATCTAGTCAAAGTCTCGAATCAAATCACTTTCATCATCATCAACAGCCTATAAATGCCCACTGCTGAGCAAAGCCTCTTCTCACATGGAGAAGGTTTGAGCATAAATCGCCACGCTTGCTTAATGCGGGTAGGCGATTACAAACTTATAATTAGAAATTATAAGCCCAGGTTTCCTCACGATGTTTTCTTGCTTGTTTAGCCACTTTTTCAATACGCCACTAAACATATCGATGTGTCATCAACATCATACACGGACGAATAATTAGAGGTATAATGTGTGAACTTACCACTACTTCAGGTGGGTTAGCGTCAACGTGGCAGGTAATGTGAGCTCGTTCCTGTTTCGCTACTCCATGTACCCTCTGTTGCGAACTCCGGCAAGTAGGTGCATCTGATGGCAAAGAATACCGCACTCAGTTATTACGTAAATTGTGTAACTGATTAGATGTTGTTAAGCCATTGTCAACCTAGTGAAGTGTAATTATATGGCAGGTACATAATAATTCTAATTCCTGCCAATAGGTGTAATTTTACATTGTTCTGCAACTCCTTAGGTGGTATTATATGATATATACGATCCATACGATCTGACTAGAAAAAAAAGAACGGAGAAAGAAAAGAAAGATATAACTTTATTTCACACGCTAAAAACCAAGTGACATCTACAGATGTGTTTATTCTATTAGTAGGTATTGATGGATACAAATGTTAATGTCCAAGTCTGTGGTGAAATTGGCCCAGTTCAGCCTTGCGCTGCTATTCTACTAGTCTAATCTAACATCATCGCACTGTCAAAAGTTCTATGATTGCTCAACACGCTACAGGATTTCATCATAGACTAGGTCAGGCGACTGGCAAAATTTTTTTTTGTGCTATCCATGTCTTGTGTATAAGTAATCCTTATGATTAATTACTCATGCTGTATGTGTATACTTGTATGCATGTGTATTTAGTGTTGTGTGAACATTAAATACACAAACATATTTAAACATTATTCTTTTAAAGCATGACTACACAAAGAACATGCCATGCCATGTTTAAAAAAAAATGTTTGAGCACATAGTAAACAACAGATTGAGTTTAGACTCTATTAAAACCTTTAATTGAAGTAATGAGCAAGCATTTCGTATCACAAGTGTCGACTATAAAGCTGGTTAATTGCCGCTTCAAAGTTCATGCAATCATAAATTTAACTTGAAACGTATTATAATAATAATTAGGGTAAGATGGTTATTGAAGTGGTTCATTGTTTATTCTGTTATGAAAAACAATAAAATATATTTAAGTTTAAATTTATTATGAACCATCATCATCTGTTAGATTAGATTCACGCTGGGACAAAGGTCTCCATCTCAAAATGGACATTTCATAATTACTACGCTTAGCAGGTGACCTGGGGATTACCGTTGGATCATGGGAAATTAATAGCATGTTATTGCACGTCTTGTGTTTGGTCACAGTTTAAGGAATATATCTCGGGATTTTTAGATCAGACAAAATACTATTAGGTAAGTTTCGACACAATCAAATCAGTGGCATGTTCGGTTCCCGTTCTTGTAAATTCGATACATTTAACTATCTGGAGTTAGTAGTTTGACTAGTAGTAGTTTGATTAGACCCTTCATGTAGTAAAAAATATGGTATAATGTTGTTTTACTTACATAAAACATTTAATGTGAAAGGTTTGCTTTCCCCATCGCCTTCTGCATTGAACCCCACACAGGTGTAGTTGCCAGCTGTCTTTCTGCCAACACCTTGGAGTACCAGCGACTGGTTGCTGATGATGACGCCTTGGCCCACGTTGTGGAGAAGAGTTTTACCCTGGCAATCAAATATATATAATATATTTAAAAATTGCTATTTGCATTTTTGGTAATGATGTCAGATTGGACGAATAAATATTTTATGAATTGGTAATACACATTGAGTAGTGGCAATTCCAGTTTCAAGGTTGGTTAGGTTTCTAGCACTGCATTGCACGGAGAGGCTCTAGGAAGACACGTAGGTCTTCATAGGGAGGTGCCGTATCAAGCGTTGCATCGTGGGGGCTCCGCGGTTGGTCTACTAAGAGGACCCGTTGCCTCTTACAGGTGGCCACCGGGAAGGTTTTAGTTCTTCTCCAAAAAGGTAGGCGCCAATAGAAGGATTCAACACGACAACAAAAAAAAAAAATATGTCGCACCCAATATGATTTGGGATTTACGATTTTGTTACCTACTAAAAATGGTGGTCTAGTTATAATGCAACTGCAAGGCGATCATTATCAAGGACAAACATAAAGTTATGTAATCAATTTATATATTTCCATCTATAGTTTCAACTACAAAGATAGGAGTTTTCTTACCAAAAACTAAAAGGGACTATCCAGAAACGTGGCGAGCATCTACTTGATGTTATGGCGAACTAGAAGTTAGTTGGGGAGTTAAGTCACAGTTCCAACCCTTTCATGGGCCCCATGGGATTGAAACTTAGTGTTATGTCTTTGCACTATAAGATACATGGCCGGAATATAAGTTTGACCCTTTTGCTTTAGGGACATAGCTGTACAGTATATTTATATCCTGCTGGAGGTTTATTGAAAAATGGTTTGTCTTGAAACTGCGTTGTCTGTTTTGGGTAGGGATTTTGTAGCGATTTTTAACCGACTTCAAATAAGAAGGGGTTATCAATTCGACCCGTATGTAGGTATGTAATGTTTTCAGAACTGCCCAGTTTTTATATAATTATGTTAGTGTCTTTCAGTGTCTGAATAAATCTGCCAAATTTCATAAGTGTATGTCTGTAGATATGTATGTTTTTATGTTTGTTCCCTCATATCTCTGGAACTACTAGGCCGATTTAAGTCATTCTTTTTCGTTGTAGTAGGTATTATTCAACTTAGAGAATACTACAAGTTTCATCAAAATTGTTTCAGTAGTTTTTGAGATAGGGAATTTTAACGAACTTTTATTTAGATTTATTATTATTTTACTTGGAAGTCGATTGTACTTTTTTTTTAAGTGGTAGCTCCGTTGGTTAAGGGCGATATCGATGTTTTGGAGTTGATTTTTGTGTTAGGAAAAGTAACGGATCGATTTTAAATATTCTCAGGTTGTTTGTAAATTGAGCAGTAAGTAATATTAAAGGAAATATTATAATACTATTAAAATACAATTTTATACACCAGAAACTCGACTACATTAAAGAATGAGTCGAAACAACAAGAAACACTTAATCATTAAAATAAATATTATACTTACATTATGTCTCCATTCGACTTTATAAACGTATGGATGCGCTCTGATGATGCAGTCGAAGTAGACGTCGGTGCCTTCTCTGATGTTTGAAGGGTCCAGGTTCGTTCCCAGCCTGACTACTGTTTCTGGGACATCTGTTACGAAAAAAGTGGAATTAAATATAAGGTTATTCCAACGTGATTAGTCTAAAATGAGACTATTAAGTATTGAGTTTGAAATTAAAACTATTTCGGTATTTCGAGTATTTTTTCTTTCCACTACACTGTTATCTTATACTATGTATTATATAAAGCGGAAAAGTTTGTTTTTTTATTTGTTGGTTTGAACGCGCTAATCTCCGTAACTACAAGACTGATTTGAATAATTCTTTTTGTGTTGGATAGCGCATTTATCGAAGATGGCTTTAGGCTATAAAACATCACGCTACAACTAATAGGAGCTGAGCAGAGCGTGTAAAACCGCGCAGAAGTAGCCAGTCAATTATATTGCCAGTATCGAGTCTGAATTAACATCATATATTATGTCAAGCTGACATTACCAATGTGAAAGTTTCTTTGTTTGGATGTTTGTTCATCAATCACACTGAAACTACTGAACGGATTTTGATGGAATTTGATATACGGAGTATGGGCTGACTTAGGTGATAGGATATTTTTATCCCGATGAAATGCTCCCATGGGATAAGACAGAAATCATATTCTACGTGGACGAAATCGCAGGCAACATCTAGTTAGATATATTTTTACCAAAGTTGAACTCGAAAATTTTAATTTCCAATAGATTCACTATTCTTTACTAGAATGGAAAACTAGTTCTAATACCAAACTATATAATCTATTTTACTGAATTCAAAAAGTTTGTATATTACATAAATCATAATAATAGAAACCTATCCTTCCTAGAAAGATAACACCTAAAAACAAACGGCTATCCGAAAATACGATTCATACATATTTAATAATCGTTAACCAACCTCTCTAAACTTCGCTCCTAACAATATAATAAGTAGATTGTTATTCCAGTCTTCAATATCAAGAAGTTTTTGTACTTTACGGAAAATTTTCACTCTCCGCCATAAAATCTAGAATTCAAGAAAAACAAAGTTGGCTGGAAAACTGGTAACTTCCAAGGTTTACTCGTAATAAAATTCGGAAGGGAAATTTTGGATAAGCTTAATTTTTTCTTTACCATTTTTACTTCCTCATGGGAGAGTTAAAATTAAGATGTTCAAGTTTACGACAGCTTATAATTTTCTTATGAAATATCGCATTCGAGTAATGTCAGGTACACTTTGTCTATTTAGTAATGAAAATCAAGGAGGGCGTCACAGGTCGTAAGCACCAACCAAATAAAATCCAAACCTTACATATAAATAAATGTGTCATGTTTTTCACTCCTGGTAGATATAATATAATATAAACAGTAATACGACGCCTACCCGTCATAGAAACTATTCGAAGGAAAATATAATCTTAATTTGATAAAAATTGTCTAAATTCTTGTTCTATTGAAAATCACTTTATACTCGGAATACAATCAGTTGAGCTCCACTCTGAATCATTCTTTTGCATGTTAAATAAACTCCTTCTAAGCTTTATTCACTTAAATGTTAATCTAATACTTCCTGTTTTATCCCATGAGAGCATTTAATCGGGATAAAAAGTATCCTATCACGTAAGTCAACCCATACCCTGCCTGTGTACCAAATTTTATCAGAATCCACTCCATAGTTTCAGCGTGATGAATAAATATATTACACCCGCGATACAGGAGAAAATCCTAGTGTGGGGCAACGTTTTTTTAAAAAAAAAATGTCCGAACATCCAAACCAAGAAACGTTCACATTTGTAATATGATTATGATTGATTAAAGTTAATTACATTGTATATCCAGCGTCCAGTCATCTTCTAGCGCTGGTACCAACGGCATCTGAGGGTTGGATGCTCTGCATGCGAGCTTGGCTCCTGCATCAGACTTAGTCAGCTGCAGCGATACCGTTGACGTGGTTGTGTTGCCGTCTGTTGAAAGCTGTACGAAGAAAGGGTCATTAGCATGTGATTATTTATTTATTTAAAATATCGATTGTATTATGACTCGAATATTGTGTTGACAATCAAAATCGAATAGATATCAAGGACGTTGAAAAAATGGCGAACATAATGTTACGTGGAAATTATTGAAGCAGTAAAATGTCAGTGGTTTTTGTGTGTGCGTGTGAATGTGTGTATATTCGGCATGTAAGTCTATAGTAAACAGGTGTTGGTCTTTTTTCAACGCCCTTGATAGAAAAAAAATACAATATAAATATCAGAGAACTTTTTTGTAGTATAATCATGAACATTCGCAACATCAGAGGTTATACAAGTGTATCGCTAGTCTTACTAAGTCAAAGGCTACGCTGGTGTGACGCGTCTTACGTCTGCGATGAGCGGGAAAAACAATAATGCGCGGCCATTTTGGCGTGACTAGCAGCCCCCGTTAGCAGAGCCTGTGATTAAATTACAGGATGTTTTAAGTTCATGTTAGAGACGAAAAACATGTGCTATAAATTATTATTCATCATATAATATAAGTCAGTTATAAAAAGGATGTTCACCTGTCAGTAATAAATGTAACTCAACCCTTAAATTCCAGTCAAACATACCAAACTATATGCCTTCAAAATCAGAGTCACTAGACTTAATATAACGATTCAAAATTACATCGAAACCCTTTGAACTAGAAGTTTTCATAATCAAAATTGGCTTCTATTAAAATCATTTTGAAATTACGAATCAAACGGGCATATGATTGCTGTCGGGGACTTAAAATTAAAGGGGCATAATCATTATTGTTCCTGACAGGTAAATTGCCGCTTCGTGTCAAGATAGATAATATCTCTAGAGAATATTGACGATCTACTTAAAATAATGCTTTATTCGTATTTTTAAACATGAAAAGACGTAGCCGAGGGTGAACTGGTTAACAATTGAGTTTTATAATTCAAATTTGATGGTTTCAGAGTTTATTAATTTTGTTTGTTAGTTGGTTTATAGGCGAAAAAGTGATTGTTGGGTATGGATTAGTAGCTACAGTGTTAGGTAAAGGAATATTGCGATATTTTATTTACAAACACAATTGGCTCACTTTGATTACTATAACCGAAAGTAAGATTTTCCAAAGAATGAATTTTAAATTTTGAGGTGATAAAAATGACTCCCAAGACGAAATAATGTGACGGTGAGCAAGGGTAGTTCGCCGCCCGACCAAAACTAGACCCGTGCGTACAGCGCATCGCGTTCCGCGCGCCTCAAAGAGCCCTCAAACCACCATAGATGATGCCTGGTTGAGCTGATGTCCGATATGGAGCCGCCGAAGGCCTAACGAGTTGTCGTAGTTTCGGCTCGAAGAGCAGGAATAGGAGTAAGAGTCTGACACTCCCTCGCCTAACCCAAGACGGGAGTAGTCATTGATGATTTTACACCTCAAAAAAGTCAAAATAATTAATGTACCGTAAAATAAGTAATGTCCAGGAGAAGGAACGGGGTGGTTTTTAGCCACTTTTAGTTCTGACACTCTCTCCCACTTCATCCAGGCGGGAGCAGTCATTCGATGATTTTCCCCCCTTAAAATAAACCCCTAGATTACCTAAATTTCCTTTGGGTCTATCGTTAAAATCTAATAATTATTATCTATGTTCATCATTCGCCTACTAAACACCAGCAAAAAACACTATATTTATCTAAATCTAGTCACAAAACCTATCAAAAACACAACCCATAACCGAACCCTTTCAAGAACAAACCAGGCAATCAGACGGCTTATCCTTCTCAGATACGTATTCAGAATTGATTTTAATTAAGTGTAGTTAATATTAATTTCTAGTTGGCATGTTGGTTGGTTTAATTAAATTACGTATTACAATCAAACTGGTTTGAATAGCGTACGTGGGGGCTGATTGACGTCACGCGTTCTTGTAATCAACTGACTTGAGTTCCTGATATTTGGCTTTACAGTGTAATCTGGTTACATGTTCACGTGAAGCTACACAAACCATTTTATCGGGGTCTCCCTTTGTATGATGTTTTCGCATGTTTAACGGTCAGTTTATACTGGATTGCGTAACTTGATGTGTTACCATGTGCCGTCGTATAGTCACTTTTGTTTAAGCAAGCATGGAATTTAATTTTAGTGACAAGGAACGCTTGTTCTTATGAATTTGATGAAAGATGTTGCTTTAAGCTTATTGGTGGTTGTTGCTTTTGTCGGAGATTCGTTTGTGAGTATACACTGGGGTAGTTTAAAAAAATAATTTTTAGGTCAATTTCAGACATTTCAAGATCTCATTGACTAAAAAATAAAGTATCTTATTTCAGTACTCGTTTCGTATTTTGGTATGTCGACCGCAAAACACTAAGAACTTCACATGCATTCTAATTAGTTCAAAAAATCTGTCCTACAATCAAAAATGAATGTTATCGAAAGAAAATTTGATTGAAAAATGAAAAGGATTAACAAGGGTATTCCATCAGCATTCACAAAGGCAAAAACTCGAATAAACAAGTACATAGTACTAGAAATTTGATGAATGATTGGATACCGGTGCAACATACGACAGCTGAAAGATTTTCAGCATGAAATATTACTGCAAAGGACGATTTTTTGTTAAAACGATCCATATGTTACGTTCGTTAGAGATTGGGAAATTTTCATGAAAAAGGCTCCCCTGAAAAGCTGGAACAAGAACTCAAACAGTCGTTGTGTACCCACCTGGTATATTTTGCTCTATATTTTTATGGAGCTTGTGGTGAATTTACAGCGGCATTGAATAATCGCTCTAAGGCGAGTTTTGCTTGTCGTAGTTGATTGTATACGGAACGCCCAGATTGTTAACAGGTTTATTTTTAATGATGGATTTTCAAACTTCCTGTATTCAATACTATTATTTTGGAAAATGTGATTAAGTATGTGTCAATTACATCTTGGTAGAGAATAAACTGCGGAAAATTTATAATTGTGCACTGTTTTAAAATGGCATCGAATTTCTATGATTCGTTATAAAATTTTGCTATTTTCGAATCTGATAAAATTGCTAACAAAATATAAAGAAGATATCTAAAGAGAAAAGTAGAGGTCAATTTTTGTTAATAATTTCTACAATACAGTGATATTCTATGCAAAATACTGGAAGACTAACGTTAGTGTTTATGATTAGTTGTTCGTCTATACTGATTATACGACTCCTTTCAAAGAAAAAAACATGCCGTTTTTCAGAGCACGACTAATCACTGTACCGAAGGACCAACTGACAAATTTGCCTCAACGCAACTTAGCGTAACTTTCACTCGGTACAGCATTCACAAAGGAACCGTGATGGTCTCTTACGGGCGATTTGTGCACGCCGTAAGCATTCACTGTCCCATTCAATCTACATTTATTACTTTTACGTGCCCTTATTTCAAGTTGGTACTCCACGCAGAAGATTAGCCATTTCGATTAAATTTCTATGCAAAATTAGCTTCTCTTGAAAAGTTTTTGAATTGATGAGGTACCTAGTGTCCCTTATCTATTCTTTGTTTGTTGTCAATGTCGACGAGAAAGGGAGCTGATCGGATTTTCTTTTCTTGGTGTCGTTGACCTCATCTTAAATTCTTCAACGTGGGTATGAGCTAATATTTACTTTAGGTAAATCTTGTTGCGGTGTACTGACCAGTGAAGGAGAATGAAAGCTGGATGCTTTGCATATAAATGGTAAAATTATTGGTATAGTGTATCCAGAAGTGTTGTTTGTTTATTCTCTTATCACAATGTTTAGCCTGAAATTACGTATGATTGTTATGTTTCTATTGAATTATATTTTCTTAATTTGTGTCACCATTTTTGAGTATAACTATAAAATTCTTCCTATTTTTTGTAACTCAAGACATAATAGCTGCAATTGAAACTTGAAAAGCCAGTTAAAAATTTACAACTTTCTTAAGACTTCAATTGAGGTTATTTTACTAGCTTCTGCCAGCGGCTTCGCCCACGTTTCCGTGGGATTTTTTTATGGCATAAGCTGGTATACTATCAGACGGAGCACCCGATGGTAAGTAATCGGCGTCGCCCATGGACACCTGGAACACCAGAGGCATTACAAGTGCGTTACCGGCCTTTCGGGGATTAGGAGTTTGAGGATCGTTAGGGATTCAAGAATTGGGGAGATTGGGGAAGGGGAGGGTAATTGGGCCTCCGGTAACCTCACTCACACGACGAAACACAACGCAATCATTGCTTCACGTTGGTTTTCTGTGAGGCCGTGGTATCACTCCGGTCGAGCCGGCCCATTCGTGCCGAAGCATGGCTCTCTCAACCCCTTCAGCCTTTTTGACGCAACTGATTAAAAAACAAACAAACATACACACGAACAATAATGATCAGTATTGTTTTACTATAAAGGTTGTAAGTATTATGAGTTCAACTTTAAAGGAGTTTAAAGAGGTTGTTCAAGGAATAAAGGAAGGTTATTGAAACAATATTAAAGTTATTCAAGTGTCTGACAATTATAAGTTATTTTGTTTAACAAATAGGTGGACTGTTGTAACCATTTAACTAAGTTCTGCAGATGAGCATAAGTTTCAATTTGTTTGTGATAAGTGATTCATTTTGTACTAAGATGATGAAAATATATTTGAGATAAAAAATATTTTTTACTTCCATCACCGAAGAGGGTAATAGTTAAAAAAGACTGAGACAGAGATGCCTGCACATTTCTTCTCCTTTTACAATATATTCTGATTTATTTCGTTGCGGGAACCAAGATAGTTATTCAAGTCTCTGGGATGCGCCGGACTTTAGTGTTCTTTGTTTTCATGGTTGTATCGACTATAGATCCTGGCTTACAGGAGTTGCAGCGATTTTGGGAGGTTGTGGCGGGCTTGTCCGATTAATAAAAAACATACATATTTCTAGAATATTCCACTCACCGTTTCCTTAGCATTGTTTATCCTGTGTCCATTCTTCCACCAGGTGATGGATGCTGGTGGTCTGGACCCTGAGCTCTGACACAGCAGGTCGTATCTTCTACTGGCTGATAAAGGCTGATTGGACCCGAGGATATGGACTGTTAGGGGTGGAACTGAAACAAAAATATGTTTTAGGGAATTTTCATGTCAAATTCCTTTTATAGGTTTACAAGTTTAATGTTTTGATATATAAAGTCGAGAATCCAATGACTAATTGGAATTAGTGGTCTGTACATAACGTGAGTACCAGAATCTAGCGTTTCTGATTGTTATCTGATATATTTTTATAGCTCTACCGATTTTATACTAGCCTAGTAAATTGAAAGTTAAAAAGTACAAAGAAAATTATAGCTGCTAACAAAATTCTAATACTGGCGTGACATGTACCGAAATTAAGGTTTCACTTAATATTAACTTTAATGCCATTACCCTCTAAACATTCTGAACAATTTTCTTCAACAAAATTTACACTGCGCAATAATGAAATCACTTAACGAAATCATTATAATTACTAAGCCCTCAAAAGAATTAGGCCTCGATATAAATTATTTATTCTCTTGAAACGTGGATTATTTCATAATATTCCTGATAATATGACTTAAGCATTTCAGTGAGCACGCAATATTTCGTGAGCTTGGCTTTTGTATCAAATGTGACTTGACCCATTGGAGAGGGAAAAAATCCTTTTATATTTAAGATATTAGCTTTTACCCGCGGCTTCGTACCTGTTAAATAAGAATAAGAATAATGTTTATTTCAAAAAAGTTTTACAATTTCGTTGTATCCTGGACCTCTCATTAGGATTCCCTGTGTCGTGAGGCCCAGGCTCCCTAACAAACAGTACAAAAAGAAAAAAATAACTTAGTGCTTTAATACATAAGTGTGTGTACGTATGCATGTTTTGAGGCGAAAGGAAGTGTCAAACTCTTACTGACTAAACACCACCCTGAAGTGTGAATATGTCACATAAGTGAATACCAATCAGTATTTTTATGGGTATTATTACTAACTTAAAAGGTTTTCAATCATGTTGTAATCCATGGTGTGAAGCCACCGTATAACCGTATTTTACATACGTAAATTCTTGAACCACTTTATCTTTTAAAAAATGGGTTGTTTAGTTTTAAAGATCTACGCATACATAGTGATAGATAAAAAGTGACTTTGTTTTATAATATGTAGTGATTGATATGTTATGTGACCTTAGCTGTCATTCATTGTGATATAGGTAGACAAAGCGGACTACAAAATATGTCGTACTGAGATAGTACTAGAATTGATAACATACTTTTGACAACCGTGAGAGTACAGGGTAGCATTTTTAGGTCGAAGAATAAGTGAGAAATTGCTGTATTGTTACTAGCGTGACACATTGAGGACATAATATCAAAATCATGTAATAAATTATACTAAAAGTAAGTTTTAATAGCTAGCCCTAGGGATGTGCTGTAGCAGGCGTTGCATTATGTGGGTTCCGGGGAAGGTCTGTAAGAAGACCCGATTTCTCCTTTAGATGCTAACGGTGGCTTCCGGGGTGGTTTTAAGTGAGGTAAAAATTCCACACTACATCATTTTTTATCTTAAAGAAAGCCTCCCGTCAATGAAAAAGGCCTCTATAATCATCAGCTCAACATTATATGCCACTGATCTCTACTTTTAGGTCTTTATATACATATAGGGGCAAGTCCCTTAACACCAGACGGCACCTAACGCTGGATACATGTATTATTTTAATATCTAATAATGCGAGTGATTCAATTTTTAGGGGAAAGTCTCCCAGTGGCAGACACCGAAGATTTTTAGTAAAAATTGAATCGCTCATGTTATCAGTTATCGAGATAATACAAGTGTTCGGCGTTAGGTGCCGTCCGGCGTTACGAGACTTTCCATAAACCTACATAAATACATTATGTAGGTTTATGCACTTGGATTATCTAGTATTTTGTACATTGTGTTTACATACAATTTTCGCTGCACATAATACCAGACCGATGCCAACCGCATGAAGCTATCAAACACTAATATTAGTTTGTGCGGGTATTGAACCACAATGATGCTGTCGGTCAAGTCAAATGTTTCTGTGGTTGTAATTATATAAATTTAGTGAAATAAACTATGCAATATTTATATTAACGAAATTTTTCCACGATTGTTTTTTTTTAAAAGGGAAGACAACATTTTAATGAAATGATGATTAATCTACGGCAGGTACTAATATTTTTTCGGATAGGAGTTTGCGATTATTCTACAGATACCACATTATTTGTTTTATAAAATATTTATAGTCTTTCATGAATTCTGTGTTTAGATTAACATGTCCAAAAATACATCGTAGCACTTAAAACATTATGAAACAAAAGATTTTTCACACACACACATTTCAAGTGTATCCATTCGAAAATCGTAACCAATAACCATCAACAAACGACATACGACTGGCAGTCTACAAGACTTCTCCTATTTCATGGCTTAACCAGAACATTCTAGAAAAGAAATATTTCAAGAAAATATACTTTTATTGTCACCCATGGTAGATGTCCCACCTACACGCACGAAGCGCTTCACATCAATCTTTCTTGTGCGTACTGCTCAGGAGTGGAATTATTTGCCAGAGTCTGTATTTCCTGAAGGGTACAACTTGGGTGTCTTCAAGGCCCAAGTGAACAGGTTGCTTATGGTACGACGTACTCCATTGTAGACCACATCATCGCTTACCACCAGGCGAGATAGTGGTAAACGTCGGCCCATCAAATATATAAAAAAATATATACTTACAGTTCATATCCAAAGTAAGCGTGGTTTCTATAGGGTGTGCTCGAGGATGATTAGAGGCTCTGCAAGTAAAAGCAGCTCGCACGTCAACTCGTGTGAGTGGTCCCACGTGGAGGACCCCTCGGACCCCATTACCGGAGAGAGGGGTCGCTGGGGTATCCGTCTCTACCTCGTCCCGGAACCATTTGATCCAGGGTCGGGGACGACCTGTTGAGGTGGAGGTTAAATTCAGATCTCTTTTATTATTAAAAAATAAATCAGTTGTGTTAAGCAAATGCCTCATCTTACATGAAGAATCGCGCTACGCTTGGTCACGATGGATTGTCGGTTTTTAAGTTTTGAAATTCTCAGTTCTCGCACGGGTCTAAAATCACTAATGATGGACAACGTGATAACTAGATTTAATTTCAGTAAATATCTGAAAGAGTGAAATTAAAGCCTACGTCAGTCTGTTCTATTCAATTAAATCTAGAACACTGTTTTAATTATGTCCATTAAAAATTAAAATCTATTAGATACTAAGTAAATTATTACGATCCACAGATATCTGTTTACTTTAATTAGTTTGATAGTCAAAAATATACGAAATAGTTAAATGGGGAAACTGGATAACATTTCAGATAGAGATAACATTGTATGACTCAATAAAACACTGCTAACGACTAACTCATGTATTGTTTGTTTATAAACGACAAATATATAGAGCGTGCTGAGATATACCTCTATTGCACAACGCTTGTAGGTATATTACGTACGCAATACAAACTTAGCATACGCTACAACATGACACATCTTTAGTATACGCTACACTGTGCCGTTACAGCATAAATTATGCTCTGTATTTGGTTTTAAGGAATCATTAACAAATTTCGAAGACTGGAAGATTTACAACTTTAGTGGCTATTATGCCATATAACCTATTTTTAATTTTTTTCTCTTTTTTTAAAAAATGGTTGACCCGTAGTTTTATATCCTGTATCGTGGGTGCGTTTACAAACATACACCATTTTCAAACTCTTATTTCCGAAAGGGTAGGTAGAGGTGCACATTACGGCACTTAATGCCACTATACAATGTAACAATCACTTTTCACTATTTATGTTATGATCCCATGTAATAGGGGGTGAGCCTATTGCCATATACCGGGCATATTTCTAGACTCCGTGCTACTACTGAGATTTTTAAAAACCCAGTAATACTTTGCCTGCCTCGGGAATCGAACCCGAGACCCCTTGCCTGGCAGTCGCACTTGCGACCACTCGGCCAACTAGGCAGCCATTTTCAAAATGAGATATATTCTGCTCACCTCCACTGACGTCACACTTCAACGTGAACGTATCACCTTCAATGTACGGGCCGACAATGGCTTGTTTCACGTCACCCTTGTCATCCGTGATCACCATCTTATTTGGTGGTACTGTGAACAAAAATAAATAAATTAACAACATTAAATGATTACCTTGATTTATGAGATTAGCACTGCTTATGGATACGCGCAATAACAGAGAAATAACAAATGCATTGCCGATCTATTTAAAGGGAGTTAAGTTTTCAGTAACTTTAGTTATACTCTTACTACTCGTTATACTCGTTAAACCGGTAATCGATCAGACTGATCACCAGATCTAAGCAATCGGCGCCGCCCATGAACACTTGAAACACCAAAGTGTTACAAATGTGTTACAGGCTTTTTGGGAATTGGGAATTTGAGGATTGTTTCGTTTTTATATGTATTATTAATGTGCTAATATTAAAGAAGGGCCAAATTAAAAGTACCCTAAACCAACGAGCATGCATAAAAAGATTGATCACTGTTGATGAAGCCAAAGAAGCATGTAAAAATCGTTATAGCAATTGGCGTTCCATAGTCTCTGTCTACCCCCGGGAGATAGGCGTGAAGTTATGTATGTACGTAATAATGTGCTTTACACCTTATCTCTACAAATGAAGATGACATGAACCATTTTTTGCGTATGGCAATATTTTTAACCAACAGGTATTTTAAATACAACATCTGATTTAATATTTTGATAATTATCAATAATAAAATTATCAATACCAATATTATAAACGCGTAAACTAAACACAAATATCTACTATGTAATCAATAATTAATTAAATAAAACAATTATTAGATTACTTATTAGTATAATAATAATATGTAACTCAACCGCCAAATTGTACCATGTATGTGCTAAATAAAATAATTATAATTAAGTTGACGTAATAAAACCGGTACAAATTATATTCGTAATTATAATTACAGGGTTGATTAATTATATTGTAGATTGGAACCAAACTAATTGCTTTCCATTGTTTGTTACTACCAGACTAACAGAAACAAGTAAATACAGATGCCGCAGTCTAATTTACCGACTATCAGACGTACAATTTGCGAATGCGCAATGTTTTGTAGGCATGACTATTTTTTTTTTTTTAATTTTTATCACAATATTTATTTATTCTGATAATAATAAGACGTACGTTTGACGTTGTTGTCAATAGAGAATTCAAAACATATGTACCCCCCCACCGGTGCTGCCCCTAGCGGATTTTTTTTAATCTTCCCGGGAAAAAGGCTAATTTTACATTGAAATCATTGATGATAGAAAAAAGATGTATGGTGTTCATGTTTCTCTTTGACTCTTACTGTACTTTTCGTTACTTCCATATAGGTTTTATAGACATTTCAATAACATGGAATATCTTGTAGTTTCTACTAACCCGCGATTGTCCTACAAAAATACGTAAGTTTTAAGTATTAAGTATTTTTAATGAATTTCCCTAAGGTGTATTTTTATGCCCCATATAAGATATTATGTGTTGCAGGTGCGTTTACAAACATACAATATCACATTCACAAGACACCCAGACCAAAAACAATAATTTGTGGATCATACAAAGAGTTGCTCGGTGTCGGAATTGAAAACGACGAGATCGACGGCACGATTGGTGCGGTGCCTAGACAACCGACTGCCGCGCAACGTGTCGCGGGTTCGATTCCCGCACGGAGCAAATCTTTGTGTGATCCACAAATTGTTGTTTCGGGTCTGGGTATCATGTGTATGTGAACTTGTATGTTTGTAAACGCCCCCAGACATAGGAGAAAAACCTAGTGTGGGGCATAGTTTAAAAAAAAATTAACCTAATGCTCAGCCACCGCGGCAACTGTGCAGTCAAAAATGCACCTACTTTGCATTTACATAAACTAAAAGCATCGAATATATTCAAAAAATCACGAGCAAACTCTTCCCAAAACTTTTTCACAAACCATTCCAATGATCAAGCAAGCCATACTAAAAAAAAAAATACTGGAATTTCCAGTAAAAATATAATTAAATGTTCCAAAGCTGTACAGCATTCCATCGACTAACACTCCTCCGCTGATCGGTCTAAAAGCATAAAATCTCTGCTAAAGATGTCGATAATAGCGTTAATATAATTTTCATAGCCCTATTCCTTTACTTTTTATTATTCATTTAGCATTAATTCCATTTTTATTGAACAACTTTTATGTCCAATTATTATATAATGCTTCCCGTTGATTTAAACGAAATTCCCTTAATTTTTGGGAGGCGATGAGATTAGGAGCGGGTCACCTACTTTTAGAGCTCAGTTTTTAGACTGCCGCCTTTATTCGGGGCATTTCTCGTTTAATTGTTCATTTATATTCATATTCGGTTATTTATACAATAATACATAAATTTATCTGACGTTTATAAGTACTTTGATTACGTTTAATCTTAACTAACTTAGACATCATTCGGAAATGTTGATCTCTATACTTATGTGCTTAAAACGCCGCATCAATTATAATAAATAAGAGTAGAAATAAACATCCGATCTCAGACACTTACGCTTGTATACTGAAAGGCGAAAAAATTTCCAATTGTACTTAAAAATTGTGCCATCTCTGTCATTTTAAAAAGAAATTGTAGCGATAGAACTATACCTGAAGTGCGACTTAAAATTGAGTGACGTTTGTGTATTTCAGTGTAAACCTTTATTACAAAGATAAGAACAATAAAACTTAAAGCAAAACTAATAACTATTAAGCACCAAATTTTCGTAAGCACTATGATACTAATTTCTTATATGAATGTCTCATTGTCTTTATTAATCAGAATTCATTCAAAACTAAGTCTAATGAATAATAGCATAAGTTATTTAATTACATTTTTAACATAATCCGTCATAATTAACTCTTCAAAGTTTGATCAATGAGTGGGCAGTCTAATTGTCATTAAGAAAGGACATTGTGACATTGTCCTCAATATTAATAAAATACAACCTATACACGACCCGACAGATTATTTCTAAATTAATCTCAGTTCAGAAAACCTTGTAATTATTATCATCATAATATTGATTGGCACTATAAACGTACAACACAAAATAATCTATTTCCATAAATCTTTAATTAAAATATCAGTAAAATACACGAAATATTTATCGCGAAATATTTCCCAAACAAGAACGGATAACATAAAGATTCCCTTAAGATATTCTCTATATTAATAATTTAGTGAAAATCTGAGATTGTAAAGATCTGGTAAAAGGAAAATATAAGATCAAAGAAATATTTCGAGATCAAAGTCTTTTCGCATCTAGATATCCGTTTATATCGAAGCGGAGTGAAACAAAAACAGAACTGTGTGCTTCTCGACTTATGATTGGAGGAAATGGATCAAGATGGCGGCTACACAGTGGTTTAAAATCGCCTTTTTTACTGTAAAATTGAATCGAACTATTGAGTTTTGTTTCAGATTGGTAGTGATGCTTTTATGATTGCGTGGTTGAATTTATATATTTATGTAGATATGTATGTGTATGAAAAACTGTTGTAAAGCTATTTTTTATGTCGTATATAAAAGACAGATCAGTAAACAGTTTAATTCAAATTCGAGTGACATATTATTTAGAATAACGAAACAATTACAACAACAAAAGAAAAAAAACATTAAATCACAGAATTCTTCTACAAAAAACATCACATAAGAATACGTAGTACAATATAAACACAATAGCTATCCAAAATATATTCAAAACGACTACCAAAGAGACATTTTAATAATATCAATTTGTGTACTCTATGGCCTCGAGTGTATTGCAATAACGTTGCCTTTGTACTCGGTCCAAGAATCGTACTTTGTGCAACAACCCTACGAATAATCTTATTCTCTCTAGCAACTCCTCTTGAGATGTGAGCCGTTACCATGGTAACGATAGCCTGTTTGCAGACTCTCTAGTGCTCGTTCGTTTTTGGCTAATTACGTAAGCGGAACGATTTGTGTCGAGCGTTTAAATTTAGAATGGGACGTTCTAAATTTATTCAGAAAAGAAATGAGGTTGTTTATTTTTTATTTTAAACTACCTTGCCAACGGCTTCGATGCCTTTCTTTTTGATAAAAAGTAGCCTGTGTGTTATACCAGCCCATATCCTACCCCTGTTTCAAATTTTATTCCGATTTTTTTCAGCTTTATTGACATGATTGAGTAACAACACATGTATACACAAATATAGAAAGTTTCGTAATGTATAATGAAAGTAAGATGAATTGTTTTAAAGACCATTCTTTCCATCGGAAATATTTTTGTGCCAACTAAGAAATTAAAGCTAGATTGATTGTTACTTAAATTATTTATACATACGTACAAGTCTTATTAACAGTTCTACGAAATCTCGTAGCAAGTGCCTACGCCGTAGCAATTTGCTACGTGGGTGGTATACATACTTTTTCTCAGTTGCCTTTATAGTGTCATGTCAAGAAGCGAAATATTTACGTTTCATCGTTAGGTAGTTCCTTCATGAATATGAATGAGGCTATGGTAGTGTGTAAGCATCGTTAAGACGAGGCGTTATGTAGTTTTATCTATTTTGTAAATCTATGGGAGAATAATGAATGAAATGACTTACTTATGTGAGTAAGATAGTTGGTAATTACGTTTTGATATTTCTACCTTTATATATATTATCTGTATGTATAATGAAGTATTATTTATCGCATTTACAAACTAAGTTACTAGTATAATGATTATGTTTTTCGGTTTGGTCACGTTACTGTTTGACGAGAAACTCGACTAGTTTCTCATGAATATAAGCCCCATAAGTAGCCTGAAACTGGTCGAGTTCCTCGTAAAACAGTTACGTGTGTAAGACGAAAAACATAATAATGAATGCTTTTTACTTTTTATTATTAACTTTGGCCCTCAATAAGATTTGCTCCTGTATCGTGGAATAAGTTGTGGATCTCACAAAGACTTGTTCCGTGGAGAAATCGAACCCACAGTATGCTGTATGGTAGCCAGCCATCGCGCCATCCGTGCAATTATGCACGGCATATCATAAGCATGTCTTAAAAAACTTATAATACAAATAAGTAACTAGATATTTTCGTCAGACCTACATTTTTATTAAGTAAAAATCACAACCATTTACAACTTGGAAACAAATTCTTTATAGTTATTCTCTCATCTGTGTTCATGAAACACATTAGCACATGTATGATTGAATATCACTCAAGGACGTCTAGACATTTAGAGAATAAGAATTTTTCGAAATATTTTTAATCTATTCGTCTATCCGAAGGCTACCTGTAATTCAATGTTAACCTTGAACGAATCCTTAATCCTTGTTCATGAAATTGAATATTTAAATTTGAATTATCAACGAAATGATTTATACTATTATAAGTATTATATGGCGTAAATGTATAAACATTAATTTAGGGTCGAATTAAGAATTAGTGTTTAAAAAAAAATAGTACATTCATGATTTGCGATCGAATACACTATATTTTCTTTTTGAAAATTTACATACATGCATACATAACTTCACGCCTGGCTCTGGGAGTAAACAGAGACCTCTTTACCTTTACCAACAGGTCTAAAATTTGTCTAAATATATTTAAATTAAAAAACAGTTCTTACCTATAACAGTCAAATTGACTCTTGAATTTCGAGTCTGGGCTTGTTTGAAGTCCACTCTACATCGGTAAACTCCTTGATCTGAAGCCTTCACTCGGTCTACTCCGAGCTCTGCTGGTCTTCTCTCGGGTAGAAAGTATGCTCTGGACGCGAACACACTTTCATCCGACCAGCGCTCAGCGACACCGAAGTCTCTTTCTCTTGCGTCGACACTGTAAGAAAAAATGTGTTAAATAAAGTACCGTTATCTAATATAAGTAATGTAATTATATTTTAGAAACTCTCAATCTTGTCATTGTTATAAAAAAGGACCACATTCAAAGAAGAAAAAATCAGCGAGGCTACGCGACATCGTCGCGACCGCGCACGCTGCTCATGAGGAAGTACTCCTCTGTAGTTCGAAACTAGTAGAGCTTATCTAAATATTTTCACGTGAGTAACCCGCGATTTTTAGTTAATTTAGTATCTCTTACGATAGTTATTATAAAAACAAGAAAAAAACAATTTAGTCGATAGTCAGTTGAATATTGAACAAGATAAAATTAAACTCAATATTCATAGCAATTAGGCTCAAAAGATAAGTCAATGAATAAAATCCTATTCAGTTCCACAACACAAGATATAAAGACCTATAAACAAAAACAAATTATCTTACAAAAATCTAGCTTCTGTTCCCAACTTTATCTCTGAACAAGTTTCACCAATAAATAAACAAATAACCCAATAAACTAATCGCCTTCCAATTATCAAAAAGCTTTACTTCCATGGCGGGCCGCCAAAAAACTTGCCATACAGATTTTTTATACACGAAAACAAAACAGTTTTGTACAAAGCGGCAATCAAAACTATCCTATTTATATCTGAAAATGAAATTAACTGATTAAATTGGAGCCCTTGCCAAGTTTCAGGTTGTTCTTGTTCAGAAGTTCCAGAAGGAAGCCTATCATCTATTTTAACTCAGAACTTGTGTCTATAACTACGGATTGAGTTACAGAAACCTTAGAATTTTATTAATTAGTCGCGTCGGTATATTCTTCAAAGTACGTATAGAAGGCAATAATATTATCTTTCAGTGATATTTACTATTTATAGGCGTATTTCGGCTAAAATTCGGACGGCCATGACTGTTACGATAATTGCTATGTGTATCTCTATAATTTTGTTTCATTTATTTGAATGAGAGCCTTGTTAAGCTACGACTGAAATATTCATCTTGGGAATGGTACAGAAATTGTTTTAATTAAAATAATTCACAGGATAAACTACCAGGATGTTTTAACTAGAAAATAGGAACGATGTATCTATTTGTAAAGTGTTATGTTTTTGAATGAGTAAAAATATTTTTAAAATTAGTATAGAGTTATACTATGTCTTCATCTTCATCCAGTTTTTGCCCATTTCTGGCCATACGGCTCATCAATAGCAAGCTGCTGAGCTCGATTTCTAGCTATTTCTATCTATTTGTAGTCTAACCTCACCATACAAATATAGCCATTTCATCTAGTTGGAGGTCGTTGAACCATATTTGCCCAAAAGTTGTTACAATAATGTTTAATTTTTAATTATTTATGTTCATTAACTACAATAATCATTGAACCTCAAAGAAATCTTATTGCGTAATGCAATCTCTAGACATCAAAATCTCAAGAACAAAGTCGCAAATCTAATTTCTACAGCTGTTTCCGCATCATCGTTTAGAGATTTATAAAAGAATAAGAAATACAAAATAGTCCCTAAATAAATTAGAAATAAAGACGACAATATTACGATTATTTTCTGTTGCCTTATTTACGATAATTTTGTTATTTATACGGATTCTATTTTCTTTTTCTAAGGCATTGGATGTATTGAAAATAATGGTTGACCGTCTCGAAACGGATGGACTGCGAAAGTTTATCTTTATTTTAGAACAGTACAAGTTTTGGACTCCGCTCCGAAGTGCAGTGAAACGGGATTGTTTTATGTTATTCCTTGGGTAACGAATGGGTGTCTAATGTTCAGTGATCATGTATTGTACACATGCCCTAAAATAGCACATTATAAGGCTATTGAACATGCTCAAAAATATTCAAAAATCGAACGCCTGTCGATTCGCAAGCATACCCGAAATGAGTATGCTAATTTTTGACACTCATGCTACTAAGTGACAAGTACTCAATTTTAAGTGTGGGAGAGCCATGCTTCGGCACGAATGGGCCAGCTCGACCGGAGTGATACCACGGCCTCATAGAAAACGGACGTGAAGCAACGCTTGCGTTGTGTTTCGTCGTGTGAGTGAGGTTACCGGTGGCCCAATTACCCTCGCCTTCCCCAATCTCCCCAATCCCTGAATCCCCAACGATCCTCAAACTCCAAAAGGCCGGTAACGCACTTGTAACGCCTCTGGTGTTCCAGGTGTCCATGGGCGACGCCGATTGCTTACCATCAGGTGATCCGTATGTTCGTTTACCGGCTTATGTCATAAAAAAAGCATGCTTTCATGCTTGCAATTATCATGTGTAACAGTACTTTTAAGACAAAATCTAGCTTAATTAAAAAAAATTCAGCAAAAAAGAAAAAAAGTAAATCAAAAGGCAAAAATAAAATGAAACAAAGAAAAATTTTGCTTACAAATCAAAATAGTAGTAGACTGTAAACTGCTCAACTCTGCTTTGTAACAAAAGTGCATAGCGCGAATGTTTAACCATCTCCACGAACATTCCCGCAGCATCCTTATAGGAGTTTAAAAGGCGTTATTTGTTTTAAATTCTTTTATCTTCAAGTTTCGCTTGTTCTTTGGCTAACTGAATGAGCCGTTCATTCTTCTGTGTTATCATTTTTATTTCTCGTTTATTTATTTCTTTTGTGAATTTGATATATTTGCTTAAGTGAAAAACTTTTTGTTTTAGTTGTGCAGCCGGCTGCCACGCAACGTGTAGAGGGTTCGATTCCCGCACGGAGCAACTCTTTGTGTGATCCACAAAATGTTGTTTTGTGTCTGGGTGTCATGTGTACGTGAAATCATATGTTAGTAAAGGCACTCATGACACAAGAGACAATCCTAGTACAATGATCAAAATAGTACATCTTTTCTAGTTATTCACACTCTGCGTTATTGTATGTGCTTGATATTATGGCACTCGATTTTCATTACATACATATTTCTATTACATAAGATGAAACTAAAATGATAACTGGTTCAAAGTGTTTGTTACATTGCATATGTAGGCGCGGTTTTACATGCTCTTCTTGGCTCCTATTGGTTGTAGCGAGATGTTTTATAGCCTTCCTCGATAAATGGACTATTCAACACAAAAATAATTATTCAATTCGAATCAGTAGTTTTGGAGATTAGCGCGTTCAAACAAAAAAACAAACTCTTCAGCTTTCTAATATTAGTATAGGTTTAAAGATGTGACGTCATATAATATAGATGCATGTGTAAACGAATCAAATCACCATGTTCAAAAGTGACATTTGTAATCATTGAATCAAAAAAATCTTTAACAAGCCCAAATTGCAAGACAAAGAAAAAGAATAATGACATAATGAAACTATGCCTCTATTTTACCAAAAAGGTACGTTTAATCTCCAAATAGTGTTCAACGAAGCATAGACTACACGACCCTTTTAAGACATCTCATCTTTAGTAGAAACTGGGATTCTGAGAAAATGTTTGAGGCATTGCAAGCTTTGTCGGTCTTGAAACCTTTAGAAGTAGGCAAGGCAGTCTCTTGATTTTAAGAGTCAGTAAAGGTTGTTGCATGTTTATTGAATCTATGTTCCCTTTGCGATTGGTGATGGTAGGGTTATGCATTCTGTAAGGCTGATTTTTAATTCAACATATGGTTTTCATTCGTAGAATAAAAATGTCTGACATTATTTTGTACTAGAATATTTCTTGTTAATTTATACTTTTTTGACGCGACAACGTGTTGATTGGCGAGACGTATTTGAGAGCTTAGTATGAAACGGAACGTTTATTGTCTATTCAAGATGGCGACTGCGGTTTGTCTGTCAGTGTCATTAAAATGAATTAATAAAATGAAATAATCTCCGTAATCCGAATTTTGCGGATATATGTTGTCGACTCGAAATCGATATTTTTTATGTTTTGTTATTCAGGTAATGTTTCGATAGAGTCTACCGTACCCCTTGACGAAATTATTAATATAGATGGAAATATTGTTAAAAAATGTCAACATTATTCCTTCGATAAAGTTATATGACGTTGAAAAAATCGGCTGTAAATGAAAAACTTTTGAAGTTATACAATTTACTAACTTTTGAATATGGAATCGAATAAGTCATACATTCTTACAGGGTTAAAATGGCACGTTCTCTATAAACGCAAATACAAATAAAAATAAAATGTTTTCAATGTAATAATAACGACTTCATGGTATAAATGCATAACTATGGAAAATCTGTCACTATTAGGTACCTCGCCCTCGTTATGTTGGCAGTACTGTGTGAAAGCGAGAAACGTGTTCCAACTACCAACCCTAAGCATATAACTTCTCGTACCCCTTAGAATTCAACGTCAAAGGCAGAATTCGATACTTTTTGCAAATAAGCAGTCGATGCTTGCAGAACTTATTCGAGTGAGATGCAAAATATCGTCAAACGAAAAGGATGTTTTAATTCAAAGTGTTTCATTAATAAATCGCTACTGACATTTGGATCAAAAAGCGATCATTTAATACGGGGTTTTTGGTTACCAAAATCCAAATCCAAATTTTGGTTTTTAAGTAATTTAACGTCACGTTAATCACAATAGGCTCACTCCCTATTACATGGGATTCATAACATAAATAGTGAAAAGTAGGTGTTACATTGTACAGTGGCATTAAGTGCCGTAATGTGCACCTCTGCCTACCCCTTAGGGGATAAAAGGCGTGATGTTATGTTATGTTAATCATAATAGGGTAAGCAGTTGTATCCATATTACACAATGTTGAAACCACCAATCACTAATAAGTTATGAGTCTCATGTAATAGGTGTTTAATTGTCCGTCTCCGAAATCAAATTTAAAACCCTTGCGACTCTTGCGACTACTAATTCATCCCAATAGGCAAAAAATAGAAAATGTGATATTATATAAACTTGCGTTGCATCAAATAAATATCCACGTCTAGCTTTCCTTATTTAACCCCAAGATGGGAGATCCTAACAGAGCCCTGGAAAGGACGAAAAAGGACTGTCAGACTCTTACTGACTAAAACCCACTTCAGTGTCCCATCATACCCCTAGGTACGAGTGTGGGAAAGTCACATTCTTCCACAGCCCCCGAACTCGTGGCGGCCTTTGTACCTACCCCAACTAAGATTAAAAGCTGAAATATATGTTATCAGTCCTCAGCCATACAAAAAGATAGACCCAAAATGTGTTTTTCAAAATGAAAATGGTTATTGAAATAACTTCGAACCGACTTTGTGATGAACTTCGCGAACTTCAAGGTCTTTTTCACCGACTTCACACAAAATTAGTATTAAAATTTAGATATTTGGAAAACTGTGGGCAAAGTTAGATTTTGTTAAAATATGATGTTGTATAAATATCTAAAATAATATTCAAATAAAGTTTGCTTTATGTTTGACCTTGTTTTAGTTCAAAATAGGTTTGCTAGTGAAATATTTTCAGTTATTTTGTATAAGTCAATACTGCGATCGTCTGTTAGATTGAAAGTCTCTCAAAAAGGTTAAAAAGTAACGCGGTCAATTAGTTTATTAGGATGCCTTACACCCAAATACAGAAAGGGTACTCAATTTTAAATTGTACTTAAATATCTCGCCATCGTGCACCATCAATGTGGACCTCTGCCTACCCCTTTGGGGATAAAAGGCGTGATGTTATGTTATCTTGCCATCGCTGTCATGTTACAAAGAATTTGTAGTCACAGAATTGTACTTAAGCGCGACTTAAAACCTGGCTGCCGCGCAACGTGTCGCAGGTTCGATTCCGCACAGAGCAGCTCTTTGAGTGATCCACAAATTGTTGTTTCGGGTCTGGGTGTCATGTGTATGTGAACTGATATATTTGTAAACGCACCCACGACACAGGAGAAACATTAGTGTGGGGCAACATTTAAAAAAAGTTGTACTAGTGTCTATTGTGATTCATTTCATTTTTCTTTGATTAGAATATATGTCTATTGGTCCTCCACAACCCATTACAGATATCCTTTTAGCAGCTTGCAGAGAGCAAATCATAATTATTACCTAACTAGCACTCAACTAAATCGGAGTCTAACTGGCCGAAGTTAATATTCGTTCTCCATTAAAAATATTTACATTTACAAAGATTTTGTCATTAGTTCTATCGATTTTTGTACAACTCTAGATCGAGTCAGAAATTTTAGATTGTAATCGACTCCAGCTTAAACCTAGCAGAAAAAAAAGAAAAGCTACCAGAAAACATTTGATATAAATTCATAACAAAAGAAAAAAAAGCTTCCAAAAAAATTGTTTAAATTTATAATAAAACCTTCTTACCTATATATAGGAGTACCAAGATCCTCTCGGTACCAAAGCACTAATAAGACGGCGTCATCTTCATCCTGTGTCGCGATGTCGCACGGCAGGTAGACAGGCTCGCCGGCCACGGCCACCACTTGCGTCATCGGCACTGTGGAGAAGAATAATTAGATTAGGAATAGTATTTATTTCAATATATAGAATTTGTGTTGATGAGACAAGGTAAAGCAATTTTAGTGCGATCAACATTTGGATGGGTAGCCATTAAACCTTTTTTTAAATCATATTGGACGTAGCACTAATACATTCATAAAAATTTAAAATCAGAACAACTAATTTACTAGCAGTAAAGAATTTCTGTATTGTTTTAATAATTTTGAAATTCGAACATTGAAATAAAAAAGAATGCAACAATAAATAATTATTAATTCTACTGCATTTAAACTGTCAAACACCGAGCGGTCACCGGTGACCGCAACCTATTGTTCTTTAATTGTGTCTATAAATACGGTACTCGACGAGTTAATTTGAAATGAATTTGCACTTTATAACGGAGACTTTAGTTTCTTTTTTGTTTAACTCATAACTATGACTTGCTTTAATGAGAATTCTTTACTAGAGATAAAATCTAGTCCATTTATAAGAATGCCATAGTTAAACAAGATGGCGGACAAACTAAAAGAACTTTGTAGTCGTTGTAAAGAGTTCTTCGGCGACTACAGACTATTAAATTGTCGTTTGTCGTTAAACTAAAAATTTTAGAGTATCGTAAACTACAAACCTTGTAGTTTCTGTGTTGTCTTGTGTTTTTGAATTAAAATTTAAATATACATGACTCAAAATAGGTACCATTTAATAGGGTAGTCTCTTAAATTGTATTTTAATACCCGCCTGGTAGATTAATTTAAAATATTATACACGTATTTTTTCTATTCTCACAAAATTAAATACTTACGACGATATATTAATTTGAAAAATCATGTGACTCCTTTTCCTAAAGTTAACGCCATTTTATCTAAGTATTGTAAATGTATACGAGAAAAAAAATACGTGTCTAATATTTTTTTATTATCTAACTGACGAACTAATTAATTAGATTTTTATTTTTTTACCCTCACATTTAGCATATCACTAAATCCTAAAGACATGAACATTATTTAAAAATTGCGTGACGTTTCAGTATTCGGCCAAAACGCATCAAACAAGATCAGCTTCTGTTCATTTTTTTTTTGGAATATAATGTATGTCTGTTTGTTCTCCACATCCTATTACAGATATTTTTTTAGCAGCTTGCAGAGAGCAAATCCTATTACCTAACTAACGCTCAACACGAATTAATTTTCTCATATATATTGTGCATACATACCCTACCTCTAGTTAATTTTTTTACTTAGACATCAAACTAAAACGTATCATGTTTCCCATCCGATCAACCAGCTACCTCCCACTAATAACGCACGAACGAACATAAACAGACAAACACACAAATTATTCCAACACAAAATTATACACACGGAACCTGCTCCAATACAATACACTACGTTCCCAGCTAGGACAACAATGTATTGTATACGACCGTTATAACTAGGTTATAAAAAGGAATACAATTTTACGCCAAAGCATTTTGTTTCGAAGTAAAACGTCATTCTATTTACGCGGTGACAATGCAGAATATGTGTTATGTATGTTAAAAAGTATTTATAACTTTATTTCTGTCTATCCTTATCATGAGTAAGAGGTGTGTTATTATGTGTTGTTTTTTGTAATTATAAACTTCATTGCTCTGAAAATTGTTTTCGAGTATAGAACAAAGATTAGCGTCTTGTGTATCTTCTATCTACAATCTGCTTCGTTGGCCGAGGGTTCGATTCCCGGGACGGACAAAGTATTGCGAGGTTTTTTAAAAAAATCACAGTAGTAGCACGGAGTCTGGAATTGGGCCTGGTATATGGCAATAGGCCTGGTATATAGAATATTGATATTTAGGTAAACAATGTAAAAATAAAAAACATAAAAAATCATATCACATAAAATACAACACAGTACATTGCTGAATTAGACCCGTTGGTCGCTCGGCGTCTCGTCAGCGGAGTGAACGTAAGTGCCTTTTGCGCTCAACTGTGCAAAAGAGTTGCGAGTCGCAAGGACATGTCAAGATACGCGCTGGTCCTCGGACTGAGGAGACTTATAAAGGAATCTAGCTTTGTGAAATAAAAAATAAGACGTGAGGTTTTATTTTTATGTACTTTTCTATGTATGTGTGTGTGGGATTTATAAGGTACATACGTGTTTTTGTCGAAAATGTTTGAATTTTTGTCGAAAAGTGTATAGAACCCCAACAAAAAATTAAATATATAATGTACAAGGAGGTTGACATATCCATGTGAATATAAACTCTAATTTAATTTTTTTTATAAAAAATTATAAAGAAATTAACGACTTGAAAATCGAACAAGCCTTATTCAACCCGAAGTTAAGACGAGACGCTGAATGACACTTACGAAAATGTTGAGTAACAAGGTAATCAAAATACCAAATCATTTATTATAACAGTTTTTTTTTTAATAATTTCGTAACAAGAGCATATTATAAAATAATACTCCCAGTCTCCCAGTGGCTTACATCTTAATATTAACTTCAAAACAAGCTTGTTTTCTTCTAATTATAAATTCTCACCTTTTCAGTGCTGAAACATTCAGGAGGCTTACAAAGATTTAACGTCAATTCTTTTACTTGTACCAGAAGCTTATATATTCTGAAGTCCTGGAAACTAGGTTGGAGTAGGTGTAACGTACAGTTAAGATCAAAAACCGATCATTATTTTCTGATACAAATGATACACTTTAAAACTCCTATGAGAATGTATTTTTGCTAAAGGAATGAAACGATTGTTTAAAATGTAAAAATTACGGATATCTTGCGTTGATTACATAACATAACATAACATCACGCCTTTTATCCCCGAAGGGGTAGGCAGAGGTGCACATTATGCCACTGTACAATGTAACACCCACTTTTCACTATTTATGTTATGAGTCTCATGTAATAGGGGGTGAGCCTATTGCCATATACCGGGCACAATTCCTGACTTCGTGCTACTACTGAGAATTTTTTAAAAAGACTTCAAAAACAGAGGTTGAAGTCGGTTTATATATTATATAAACGTAGTTCATACAAAAAATATTATGTAGAAGTAGATTGACCATGCTGATCTCATGCCCGACTGACAGATAGTTTTATTTACGACCTCTCTGTAAAGATGTAATTAATAGAATATTGTTATGAACAGTAAAAAGTTATTTAGGGAACAGAGAGTAAAGTTCCCTAAGATCGGAAAAGGAAGATCCTCCGAGCACGCGAGGTGACCGTGCCTGGCGGGCTTTCTGCCTAACAGTTGTTCGTTGGGATTTTCTATCCATGTTAATTAACATGTAAACTTCACATGTGCGATGCAGGATTTTATGACGTCATCTGTTGATTTGTTTTCATCGATAGTCTATGAGAGCCACAGTTACATTAAACATACATTACTAAAATAATATAGTAGTTCGAACAAAATCGGGACAAAAAGTCTAATACTAAATCGTACGCCAACTGTACCACTCCGAGATAACCTAAAAATAAAAGTGATCACTTCTTTTCCAATAAAAACATAGTGTCGGGCCCACAATTTCCTTACGTTTTGAGCCTTGTATTTTTAGGCCTACCCAGTATTTTATAAAGGCTGATTTATCTCTGTTTTTGTTCCACGTCTTTCTAGGATTTTCTCGATCGTAACGATTTGAATTTCAATATCGGTCTGCTATACATATTTTTATTTTTAATTTGAAAATGGATTTTATGGATTGAATAGAATATAGGATTTGAATTTTAAAATGTTACCATGTCGGTTTTATCTCGAGGGAGTAAGCCAAACCCAAATAGAAAACTAAAACATTGTACAAATTACATAAAAATAAAAACAAAACTTTCGTTAAATAATAAAACACCTTTATCCCCGAAGGGGTAGGCAGAGGTGCACAATACGGTACTTCAAGCCACTGCACAATGTAACACCCACTTTTTACTATTTACGTTATGAGTCTCATGTAATAGGGGGAGGGCTTTCACTAAATATTGGATGAATAATTTATCACAGACCACAGATATAACCAAAAGTATCCCATAAATAGATAAATAGCACAACCCCTAACAGCTTCTACTAGCTAAAACTAAACTAAAAAAAAATGGCTGTACAAAACACAGAAGAATACTAAAACAGTACTAAGAAGTTCAAACAATAAATCGGGTGCTGTAACAGGAGGATAAGTGACGTCTTTGCCATCCGGACGTCCGTGCGTCCATTCTTTCCCCACCCGGATGCAATGAGACAATGTACCGTAAAAGCGTACCGTATTTGTGTTAGCCCGAACACAGTTTATCCGTTCTTCTCTAACAAGTCACTGTTCTTTTAAGTGATTTAAAACGTTCTTTAAGTCTTAATAAAATATCGTTGAGCTTAGCACTTGTTGGAAAAATGGGAACACCTAATTACTTTATAGGAGCCTTTGCACTGTTTGTTTGTTTCACAGGATGTTTAAGTGCTGGTATTAATAGGGTACTGTGTTTCTATCTGCTAGTCTCTTAGAGTCAGGATTTAAATGATGGAAACCTGTCTTCTTTGTGGATTTCCTTTGATCTAGTCATTGAAAAAGAAAACCCTTAATTAATTTAAGTTCTTTGCTGTAAAAGATTGTTAAGTTCAGTCTGGGATGATATGCGATAGAAAAGTCAGACATCTTCGTCACATCTTTAAGATTCATAAAGTATCTTGGACATAGTTCATGATCAACAATAGATACATCACAACAAACTAAACCTAACAATAAAATCAGCTCACAATATCAAGTCCGTTTTACTTTCCACAGAATTTCCTCGGAGCTATCTGAGATCATGAAACATGCATGCGAACTAAACGTCTATGTGGTGATATTATTGAATATCCCCAGTATTGGATATGGTTGCAATGGAAATCGGTTCTCGTCGGCGTTGCGTCGCGGAAACGCTATTAATTTCCGAATGTCGCTTCGTGTCGCAAACGTTAGTAGTAGAGTGGTTTCGGGCTATATTTAGAACATCGAATAATGTTGCCAGTCGATTTGTTACTAAAAAC